GCTGGGTGCCACCCCCTCTATCCTATAGCCAATCAATGAACTTAAAATCTTTGTCGTACGATAAATGTAATATCAACCTTATTGTTATTGTAATAACTCAACTTATATTACTATATTTTGTTATTATTCTTCTTCTTATTACTAATATTGTTATTAAATTATTTTGATTATACATAATATTGGTTCAATAAAGAAATATTAAAAAAAAGATACATGATACTTTACTAAAAAAAATTATCATTTTTAACGTACTTTCAAAAGTATCAGTCAGAATAAAATTATAAGAATTTAACATAATTTGCGCGTCATATAATCAAATTAATTATTAGTTAATTTGTGAGTAGAAAATAAGAATAGAGATCAATTCTATATAATATTAAAGAGAGTGTGGTAAGAATTTACTAATTAGATTTTTCTGTATATTATCTGGTTAATACATAGCTAGAGAGAAGAATATCGGTCAGCATATTTCGAATTAATATATACTAAAAATAACTAGCATTAGCAAAAATTTTAGTACTATTTTTTCATGCATAGTTTATGGCCAGTAACTGGCCATCAAACATAGGCCGGTATTCATAGTCGATTCTTAAGGCCATTCTACATTGGTCATATCGTAGACGTCGCAAGTCACAAGTTTGTTCCTTCAGCCAATCCGATGCTTCAATTTTAAACTCGTATGATGCTTACGACGCTTCCGACGCTACGATACGACCAATGTAGAATGGCCTTTATATTTAAGATCGTCTTAAGTACAGTCTTAAGTCGCTAATACGGCCCTCTGATTGGTTCATGATACCTCAAGACAGAACTTAAGACAGTCTTGAATATGAAAATCGATTATGAATATTGGCCTCTTGGCTGAGAACCGTATTTACATCTTAAAACATTGCTTGAGATGGTCTTGAAATTAAGAATTAGCGGTCCAAGTGAGGGAAACGGTGCGCGTATACACAAAAGTCCGACGCAATTGCGCAATAAGCATGCGTCTCATAAAACGAGACTCGACAATAAAATGTATACGCACGCAGTCTTCCCGCCATGGAAACCGGCGACTTTATAAATTGGAGACGTTTCGACTCACCATTAAGTCCTCCTTGCACTCGTCCTCGGTAACTGTCGACAGGATTCCGGTTTCCGTCCAGCTTTCTTTGATTGGCCCTGTTTCTCGCCACCGGAGTAAACTTGGCCAATAGACTACGAAATCGAGATCAATCATAACAATTTATTGTATGAAGTTGAATAAAAAAATGTTAATGATACAATCGTCCCAAAAATGTCCTGAAGGTCCCAAACCAGAGAAAATAGACGAACATAGAATAGAACCACGCATGGGGTGCATTCGTTTATGCAGTGGATAGCGCAAGCGCATTCCGCATTCAGCGGATTCAACAGTTGAGTGAGCGCTCGCTGTTGGTGTATTCTTTTAGCTTATCCAATCAGAATTTTAGATCTAAAAGAATACATCAATAGTAGCGAGCCTTAGGCCTGGTCTACAATCAGTCGGGAGATATAGGGATCCTCTAGTAAGGGATGAGACAACACGTGTACAAGCTGAGGATTGGTCGACGCCATTCGAAGGACACTTCCGTGATTCGAACGATACACTCCAAAGTCCAAGTTGCTTTATATGTTGTATGTACATACGTATTGTATATTCAACGATATCGCATGTGCGTAAAATTTATGAAACGAATTTATAAAAGTAAGTATTATATATATAAAAAAAGAAGAGATTAATATTAACCTTGTGACAATTCATAGTTTATAAAATTATTTGAAGTAAAAATCATACGAAAATCAATCCTTAACCTATAAACAGAACTAAATTTTGTTTACTGACTTATGTTTTAAAACATCAATTATGCGAACGTGCAGTGCTCCTAATTGTAAAAATAGCAGTAGAAAGAGAAATAAAATGTTCAATTTTCCAAAATCTCCTTCCCGACGATAAAAATGGTTGGAAAATGTCGGCTGTCATTGACTAAAAAAATATTCTGCATTATGTGACGTAATTAAGTTTTAAATATTGTAATTCTAAAGCTATTTATTTGTCTATTACTTATAAGGCTTAGACTTATTCGACCATTAGGCAGTTTCTCTCTCATTTATAGTAGTACTTTGTTCTGTTTGCCTAAACATCCCATGCTGCAAGCCTTGGTTATTTATTATTTATTTATTTTAATACATATTATACTTAACGTAATTTTTTCAGGAACATTTTAGTGATGATAAGTGGGAAAATGAAAAAATATTTGGAAAGAAACAGAAATTAAGATGCTATACCAATCTTATTAAGAAAACCACATATGGAAATGTTACAAGACGATAGGTTTAATATATTATTTTATTTGTTAAACAAAGTTTTAATAGCATATATGTATATTGACAGCGTTGCATAATTGGATATTAAAACCAGAGCATGAGATATTATATTGCATCTAATTACTCTATCGTCAACCTAAAAAAAAGTAGCAATCTTCCTCTTGAAGTAAATGTTAACTTAAAATGTCGTTTTTTAGAAAGCCTGCAAAATGAGTAGCGCTTGTTTAATTATTGCGATTGACCATCGGCCACTCATAGCACTTGAACTGGAAAAACTCTAGGCACTGTGAGTGATCATGGTTAATTGTAACATGGTCAAATGAGAAGCACCCTCTACAAATAGTATTTTTTCAAAATGGTTTGTATATATGTACATGGCTCTTTTTTTGTAGATATTACACAAAAACCAAAAACATACTTAGTCAGTATTTTAAGAAGAAACCAATACAAAGTTATATCAGAAAAGCCATCGAAAGAAAATATCGATAAGCAAATAATTGAAGTAAACGACATAGAAAAAAGACTTCTTTATAAAGAAGTTTTACTTTATATATGTTTGGAATTTACGTAACTTTATCTGCGCCTGACTACTATTGCCCTTTTCTTTCCAAGTTTTTTTGAATTTTAAGGAATCTTCGATAGTGTTTTTATCATTTACGTTATAATTTAAAGCTTCAGAAACAATATCTTTATTTTAGACCGTATATGTGAGAAACACGATCAATACTAGAAATTAATAAATGCCTATTACGGTCGAAGCTGGATCTTCGTTGCTTAAATAATTCAATCTTGAATTAATAATATATACTATATATGTACTTGCATATATACCATATTGTAGTCTTTTTCAAATTGCGCGCCAAATTATTTTTCCGGACTAAATAAACGCAATTAAACCTACTCTAGCAATCGCGAATTAAATTGACAAGCAATTTAATAATTTGATGCTACCATCAAGCATCATATATTATAAAGATGTTGATATGTTGAAACTGTTAATAAATTTATTGCGAAAAATATTACCTCGGCCGGGACTTGAATCCGGATCTCTTGTATTCCGTACGAGCGTCCTAAGCCATTAGACCACCGAGACCTTAGTAATATTCTTCGCAATAATCGGTACAATAAGGAAACAACGTCTTTCTTTCAGGTAACGACGTAATTTAAACAATATATTAAGAAATATATAAAAATGCATTATAAAATAATAGCAAAAATCTCAATTTTTTAATATATGAGTATTTTATGAATTTAATAGCGTTTTTCACTGGCAGAACTGGTGCGCACTCAGTGCACTTTAAAGCCGTTGTATACAAATCGACATAAAAATGTACGTTTAATAAAAATATAGAAACGAATTAAACCACGAAATCCTTAATACATTTTATTGTAATATTTGATAAAATATACATTGAGTATTTTATTAATTGAGATCTCTCACTTTTACAGTCAGATTAGGTTAATGTACAATAGCTTTAATGTGTACTGAGTGCGCACCAGTTCTGCCAGTGAAAAACACTATAAGATTATTTTCGTAAAGTTATATACATTGAGATGCAGACATTAGCTGTCCAATAAACAAAATATTTATTTGTCATAAACTAATCGGTGCAGCTCAATGAAACTTTGCATAAGTTTGAATATTTAAAGTACTTATACAAAAAAATTTAGATCTTTATTATTAAACGAAATTTTTTTATAACAAATCAAATAAATAATCTATTAAAATTTGTT